TATAAATTTTATTAATTGTTAATCTAATAATCAAATCTATGTGAAGTATTATAAAATCAAAAAGAGTACTTAACAATTCTTTATTTTTTTTAACATAAGTTTTTACTAACTTTTTCTTTTACAATTGCTTAACTTGCAAAATTTTATTTTATGGTTAATAAGTAAAATTTATAAGTAGAAGAACTAAAAAGTTAATAATAGTATATTATGAATAAATTAAGAAATATAATATCTTATTGCAAAAACAAAAAAGTATAATATTTTCATATGACTTGATTTTTATAAAATTCATACCTTTCTTGTTTAGTTCAGTGTATGAAACAACACTTTTATTACTCTAATTGACTCTAATATCATAAGCAAAGCTCTCTCCTTAACACATTCAAAAAAAAAAAAAAAATTCATCCGTTAATAGTTTATAAAGAAAAGAATGCATAAATTTTAAACAAATAAAGTTATAGAATTCTTTTAAAAGAACAACATCATGTGTTTTATAAAAAATTCATAACAAAGAATAATAATCCTTATTTCATACAACAATACACATATTTTGAACAAAGATGAAAAAAGGCACAAGAAAATAAAAACATAATATTATATTTTGTTACAGTGTAAAACATGAAAAAAAAAAAAAAGAAAATATTTGGAACTCACCATATTATTAGTGAAAAGAAATTGTAGTGATGAAAAGAAAAATATGATATATTAGTATAGAGAAAATGACTAACGATTAGAGGTGAGGAAGAAGATAGAAGATGGAAGAGCATAGAGAAAAATATGGAAAAAAGATATCATCAAAGATGATGGGAGGGAATACATTTATACATTTAAACATTAACTTTTCATTTTCTTTATTTAGGAGTTTTTAAATATTTAAACCTTTGGTTTTTTTATATTAAAATAATGTTGCTTCATTTGCCACATTTATTCATCAATTATTTTTATCATTTACAATTTTCAATTATTTGCCTATCTATCATTTTTATTATTATTTATAATTTTCATTTATTTTTTCATTTATTTATAATTTATAATTTATAATTTTCATATATTTTGCATATTTTGTTTCAACATTTTAAATTAATATAATATTATATTTTAAATAAATGCATACTCTATTTAATGAAATTGGGTATAGATTTTGTATATGAATATTTTGTATACCCTATAATATTCATCTAAGTTGTCTTCCGTTGATAAATTATTTGGCTATATATGGTCTTGTCTATTTGTCTACCAAAGGATTAATTTTTTCAGTTATGTATATTATATATTATTATCTTTTCAATATTAATAATTAATAATTATCATACTATAATTTTCATTTAAATTATCTTCCATTGAGAAATTAATTGGCTATGATCTTGCCTCTTCATCTACCAAATTATTAATTTTTTCAATTACTTATATTATATATAAATTTAATTATTATATATATAAATGCATGCCCTATTTAATGCATTAGGTACGTTATATATTTATATATATAGATACATAAAGATAGATAAATAAATAGATTTATAATTGTCATATTATTAATTTTTTATTACCTTTTTTATATTAAGTTTTAAAACAATTATAACAATGTTTATAACTCATAACCTTGTTATTGAGGATAAACATGAAACCCAACAAAAATAATAATTTAATTCATAATGGTGTAACCTAAGAGAAGAGAAAACGAATAGTTTATTAATTAATAATTGTATATAATTATTATATAATAAATAATAAATATATATTATTATTATATTATTATTATATATTAAATATATATATATATATTAGCGTTTTATATATATAGAAAGATAGATAGATAGAGATAGATAAATAAATAGATTTATAATTGCCATATTATTAATTTTTTATTGTCTTCTTTACATTAAATTTTAAAACAATTACAACAATATATAATTATAACTTATAACTTTATTATTAAGGATAAATATAAAACCCAATATAAATAATAATTTGATTCACAATGGTGTAACTTAAGAGGAGAGAAAATGAATAATTTATTCATTAATAACTATATATAATAATTATATAATAAATAATAAATAAATATTATTATAATAATATTATTATATATTAAATATCTATATAAATGCATACCCTATTTAATGTATAGGGTAGTGTTATTTGTACATATAGATAGGAATTAATGTCTTTGTCGCAATTTATTCTTCTATATCTTCTTGTCAATTGTACAAAAAAAAAAAAAAAATGAGAACAGCAATTTCAATTTTATATTTGTTCTCAGCTCCATCTTCCTCTTAGATTCAGTAAAACGTTTTTCTATTCGTAACATGTTCACTGCCTCCTGCATGTAACATTGAAGATTGTAAAAGATACTCTGGCAACAAGGGAGTGACCGGAGGAGTTGCAATATCACATTAGTTGCGAAAAACAGGAAGTCATTTCCACACAATTGCCTAAGATGAACCCTTATTTTGCTTCAAATGCTTGCTGTTCGCTTCCATTGTCTATGTTTCAGCAACTGCTGCTGCCGAAACTCAAGGCAAGTGTTGATGGGTTGGGAGGAGTGGATATCTCATGAATTATGCTGGCGGTTCAAGTAATAAACTTTCAATAACATGCACATCTGCGCACCAGTGGTCTAGTGGTAGAATAGTACCCTGCCACGGTACAGACCCGGGTTCGATTCCCGGCTGGTGCAAGGTTTTTTCGTCAACCTTTTCTCATTTTTTAGTTTCTTAATCAATGAACCCTTGAAAGCTTCTCAATTGCAATTTTATCTATTCACATATTTCACATCCGTGATTTTGCTTCTAAACTCAGCAAACATTGGTCATGAAAAGAGTTAGAGTTGCATCATGAGATGTTGGACAAACAAGACAGCCGCTTTCCTCTATCTTGTTTTCTTCCCCTTTCTCTATCTTGTGATTATGCAGTGAATTCATGAACTCATACAAATTCCTAAAACCCAACAAAAACACCATCGCATTGGTCAAGACTTAATATTGAGCCCTTGTTCATCCTTCTCCATCAAATGCATTTTCAACCTAATAATTAAATTAAATAATGCGTCATTCTAGTCTCTAAAGCCACAATTAATTAATTTATGCATCTCATGTGACACTATCTGCCATATCAACTTTAATCGATTGAAGGGCCACACAAGGTAGTTTTCAGTTATTTGTCCATCAATCTATGAAATCATAAGAGTCAGTGCAATGATCATGAAACATATGTTACACCTTTTTGGTCTCCCTAAGCTTAGGTTGGTCCTTACTATTGTATATCCTTTTTAGTTTGTATAAATGAAGTCTGACTTTATTTTAGGGCCGAAGTTGAGATACAAATTTCTAAAATCCACTCACAGTTCCATCAGAGAAAATTACTGTCTAGCTATTCTAGTAGCTAAACCAAAACACAAGCTAAAAACGCTTACGTCAACAAATTGGAAATCAATTTGGCAAAATATCTAACTTATGTAAAATAACTAAAGCAAAATATCTAATTAAATTAGGCAAGATTCGGCAGCCTAATATGTTCGGTTTCCCCCAATAGCAATTTACAACTAGACGTTAACAAATTGGAAACCAATAGAAAACTTGGGAAGAAGCTTCCCTTGAAGTTACAAAAGCAACAGTTGTTATTTTACACAAGACTGGAGGAATGTTTGGAATTAAGTTTTCAGTTTCAGGTCTGCCACCACCACAAAGTCTTGCGTAAAGGGTAGTGGGTTTTGCACTTTTGCTGTTTCTCAAAAGAAAAGTCTGAGAAGTCATCATCTGTAAATGCTGAATGCAGTCGTCCATGATATAATCCTCCAATAACTCATTTTTATCCTCTGCTTATAATCTTATAGTGGAATGCACATTTTCATCATCCTCCATCTATTCATTATCCCACATGGATATTGCTTCATTTTTTCGTTATCCTATATGACACTATATATCTTATTTGGCGAGAGTTTGTTGTTGATCACTGTATGTTGATCAAGAAAATTCAATTTTAAAAAAAGTTATGAAAAGGTAATTTTTAATGAATTTTTGTCAATTAATTAAACAAATCATGTTAAAACAAAAAATCTTTTGTGCGCTTATATGAGGATCAAAGAGGAGTGAAGGTTTGGTGGCACACCTCATCCAAGCACAAAAAGGCTTACGTTTCTGAAGGCAACCCTTGCAATATTTTTTAACCATACAAGACCAAGTTCCGCGAATCGGAGAAGGGATAGTGGATTCCGATGTGGACTTGCCAAGCCGTCGGATAATCCCAAATTAATAGTGCCATCCCACCAATTTTCACCTAATTCTTATTCAGGGGACAAGAAATTAATCCTCGATTTTATTAGCTTTATTTAAGTGCTGCACTAAGAACTCAATCCTTGTTCCTGGCAATTTCTTTCACAAAAAACGACGGTAGGATTCATTTCTTATAAAAAAAAAAAAATCAGCAAGAATTAGTAAATAGTAATTTCTTTTTTAAGACAGGCAATGAACAAGAATTAGTAATTGATAAAAGATAGACAATGATTACAGAGATTATTATCCTTTTCCAAGGTTTATGACAGTTAAGTCTTTTTTTTATTAAAATCT